CAAAATAAACCGCTAAGCCTCAGGCCCTTGATCAGCACCATGATCCGGTGCTAATATCTTGTCCTACCTCAGGCCTCACTGTTGTACGTCATGCCCTGGCCCTCTTCCTTTCCATTACTACCACTTCCACTCCAGACTTGCAGCCTTATTGAACTTGATGTGGCTCCTTGATCATGCCGTCTTGTCTCATTTCCTGCTGTTCTCTCTGCTTCAATTATTTTCTTTCCATTTTCCTCCTGGTTTAATGGTTAATTCCTACAGAGAATTATGCTTTCAAGCTGTCTTGTATCAACAGGGTGAAGTTAAATGTCTCTACTAAATTCTGTCCTTATACTTGGTTCTTATACTACAATACACTTCATAGCTTAGTAAAATGAAATATTTTTCTTGGTCAACTCTGGAATTCAAATGAATTTTCTTAAAGGGCAGAATTGGTTCTTCTCTGGCTTCATCAGCACTTGCGATAGGGAGAGCAATACTCAGTGAATAGCTGTTCCATGAATCTTTGCATGAATACATTGGAACGTGATTATGGAGGGCTGTGGATGCATGTCAGGCCAGTTGAGCTCATTCTGGAGAGATTTTGATGGAGGCGTCAATCATAATGGCAGATGACAGCAGCAGTCTTTGTCCTTGCTTCATGAGGTACTACAGAATACGGGTTCACTTACATGGAATAAAGATGTATTTTTGTATGAAATTAGAGTCCCTCTCATACAGATTTTTTTTAAAGATTTGTTTATTTTTATTGGAAAGGCAGATACACAGAGAGGAGAGACAGAGAGGAAGATCTTCCATCTGATGGTTCCCTCCCCAAGCGGCTGCAATGGCTGGAGCTGAGCCAATCTGAAGCCAGGAGCTCTTCCGGCCACACAGTTGTAGGGTCCCAAGGCTTTGAGCCATCCTCAACTGCTTTCCCAGGCCACAAGCAGGGAGGTGGATGGGAAGCGGGGCTGCCAGGATAAGAACCAGCGCTCATATGGGATCCCGGTGCATGTAAGGCGAGGATTTTAACCACTACACTATCGCAATGGGCCCGATACAGATTTAAAATACGATCTTGAGGCTGGCATTTTAGCATAGCCGATTAAGCCACCTTTCATCTGCAGGGGTGCCAGTGTGAGTGCCCGCTGGTCCACTCCGATCTGTGTAGAAATGCAGTGGAAGATGTCCCACGATATCTTCCCATCGTCCAAGGACAGAGTTCCTGGCTCCTGGCGCCTGGCTTCAGCCTAGCCCGCCCCCAGCCACTGTGTCATTTGGGAATTGATAATCTCTTCCCTCTCTGTCTTTGTGACTCTGACTTTCAAATAAACAAATAAATTATTATTTTAAAAATATAATTTTTGCTGGATGGAAAAGACTTAAAAAAATTATTAGAGATATTTTAAAAGTTACAAAATTTGTCAAATTTGTCATGAGAATGTACTAATAGGAGAACTATCACTGGTATATTTTGGCTTTTTCATTAATTGGGTCGGTCCTGGAAGTGACATATATTATATGGAATTATGTGTTAGAAAAATTCTAAGTAAGAGAATATGAAATTAGAAGGGGTATCTATCTATTTTGTTTTATTTTGAGAGAGAGAGAGAAGGATTATTCCTGATTGATGGTTCATTCCTTAAAAGCCTTCGGTGGCTGGGACTGGCCTGAGTGGGGCCAGGAGCCAGGATTTGAATCCAGATGTTTTCCATGGGTGTCAGGGATGCAGTTACTTAAGGCATCACTGGTTCTTTCCAAGGTCTCCACTTGCAGGAAGCTGGAGTCAGAACTGAAAATTGAACCTAGATAAGTCTTTGATGTCTGTGTGGCCTTTTAACCAGTCTAGGCCAAAATTCCCACTCCTGTATTTTCACACAGCTGCTTGTTAAACACTGGCTTCCCTCTTACCCCAAAGGAATGTATGCTGAAGAAGTGTAGAAGGTTGGGTGGTCTAGATTATTCTTTCAGAACATCAGTGTCATTGGAGTTGTTAGCAGTTAAATTATAAACATCCTATTCATCAATAGGGCTGGGAGTCCAAAAGCATACATCAAGAATCTTTTTAAACTTCTGTAATTTGCCTGTTTGGTTACAAGAGGTTGTCAGAGATGAATGTGGGAGGGACAATACCCTTACTAGTGCATTTTAAAGTACTAGGACATTGAAACCTGTGTGGGGAGCTGGCAGTTTTTCTTTCTTCTCCTTCTGATCCCCTCTACACGGACTGTGAGAGCAGTAACGTCTGCCCTGCCAGGACGGCAGGAATCCTTGCTTTATGTTGCCTGGAGACTGTAATTCCAACTAAACAAGTGGAGGTGCTGCAGGAGAATTGTACTTATGAGATCGTTGAATGAAGTAGAAGGTGGTGTAAGGAGAGTGCGGTGGTGCTGCAGGGACCCTGCACTTCCTGCCAAGCTGGACCTCTTCCCGGCGAGGCATGGTGCTGGGAGCAGCAGCAGACCCCGAGCAGGCCAGTGGGACAGGGCTTCTGGACACACCGTCCTGATTTGTTGTCATTTCATCAAAGGGTAAGGGATCACATCCCTGTGCTCGCCTTCGTCCTTCATCTAAACAGTGGGGGAAGTACTGAGAAGTCAGCCCTGCGTATCTTCATGTTCGGGCATGGTTTTGAGAGTGCTAGGCAAAGTGCCTCTGGCATGCCTACCACACAGACCCCGAGAGGCCACTGAGGCCCTGGCACTGCCCCAACCCATGCTAAGCAGAGAAATGCTAGTGGGGAAAGGTGATACTGGGAATGCTACGAAGCATTGTACTTGGTAAGTACTGTTTTCCTTTTGCTGTATTACTTACTAAAATGAACACTTGTCCAGAAGCCCCACCATTTAGACTGGTGGCCTTCATTGCTGCTGGCTCAGGATGTCTGCAGAGAGAAGCAATGCGAATTTCTCTTCAGCTTCTACTACTCCCTCAAGGTAAAGACCCAGCAGCAGCGTGGTCCATTTCTCACATGCTGCAGTGTCATCAGTGCAGCAAAGTGGGCAGGGAGCTGTGTCGGAACTGTGCTTGCAGTAAAGGCATGTCTGTTTTGCCTCTTAGGTTGTGTGCAAGGCAGTGCTTGCTGGCTTGGAAGGTGCAGTTACACGAAACCTATCTTCTACTCCCAGAGCGCTGGCCAAGTTGCCGACGAAAAGGGCGACATAGATAGAAATGCTCTTGTTTTTAAATATCATGTGACAAGGGACACGTAAGTGCCGGCAGAATGTAGGAAACAGCTGATCAATTTTTTAAATTAAGTTTTCTGGTTCAAAAGCAAGATAAATAAACCTGACTTACTGTGTTTACTTAGTTAAGTATGGAAGTAAGTGGAGTGTGGATTTGGGGGTGCTTGCTTGAGAAGCCTTTCTTTATATGTACCCTTCCAGTTTACCGAAGGACTTGTTAACACAAGGCCTGGGCCTTTGAGTTCTCTGGCAAAATTTGTACGTGGTCTCCTGGGGCAGGGACTGAGGGCTTTCGGCAGGTTCTTGAACGTTCTGTGCTGGAACTCAGAATGCTCATTTCCAGAGGACACCACAAACCCTGATCTGGGCTTGACGGGGCCTTCTTGTCTCGTCCTCACTGCCATTTCTGTGCATCCTTGTTTAGTAACAGGGCTCTACTGTAAGATGGACTGAATGCTTTCATAGAGTTCATCGTGTGCCTTCATTTGGGAAACCTACAAGTTCAATATATTATTCATCACCAGCCCTGCCTACAGCTTTTTGAACACTTTTTGGACACTTGGCAAAGTTGCACTTGATAGACATGAATCAATTTACACTCGGAGTCTCTGGGAGTGAAAGCTATTTCACAGATAAGGACACTGGGGCTCCCTGAATTCCTTCCTGAGCTGGGCTGTGGTTGGTTCCCTGCCTCACACCTGAAGCCTGGACTCTTCTTAGTAGCCTGCACTGTACTGTTTGTTCTATAGCTATGCTGTATCTGCCTCTTAAAAACACAGACACACGGGCCTGGTACGGTAGCCTAGTGGCTGAAATTCTCACCTTTCATGTGCCGGGATCCCATATGGGTGCTGGTTCTAATCCCAGTGACCCACTTCCCATCCAGCTCCCTGCTTGTGGCCTGGGAAAGCATTGAGTTTGGCCCATTGGGAGCCTGTACCTGTGTAGGAGACCCGGAAGAAACACCTGGCTCCTGGCTTCAGATTGACTCAGCTGTTGCAGCCACTTGGGGAGTAAATCATTGTACAGAAGACCTTCCTCTCTGTCTTTCCCCCTCTTTGTATATCTGCCTTTCCAATAAAAGGAGATAAATCTTAAATTAAAAAAAAAAAAAGAAACACACATACCCCACTTCTTCCAGCCACAGTCTCTGGAGATTTCTCTTTAGAATGTCCAAAAGTCTTTTGAAATAAATGGACCCCTGCACCTTAGTTATGCAATCCATTTCTTTTTCCACAAACAGGAATACATTTTCATTAAAATCTAGGTTACTTCATTGAGTTTAGATGCCATATTGTGTTATTTTCAATATATTTAAGAAACATGTATGAAGTTGTCACATAGTTAATATAAGTGTGTTCTATCACACATCCTACAGGAAAATAGAGCCTTCAGAAGGGGGGTTTTCTGAACTGTACGTTCTGCTTTCTCCGCCGGCCACCCCAACATTGTGTGTGATGAGAGGTGATGCTGCAGGGGGTATTTCACTGGTACCCATGGTAAGGGTGAGGGAGTTCAAAAAGTACAAGAGCACATGTTTTCAAACCATTTCTGCTTTGTAAAACTCTTATAAGAAGAAATACTATACTACTTATTTATTTATAATTCTTATATACTTAAGCTACTTTAGAATATGATATAAAATACTGTAATTATTTCTCTTGAAAATCTATGGCCAAGCCAGTCATAAATTTGAGATATTTCATAGTTTTGTTTGTGAAAATTCCTTTCAGTGAAAACTCCAAATTATGATTGCTAATTGGTAAGTATGCTTTTTAGAAAAAAATTTTTAAAAATCAAGTGGCTCTTCTACACTTCATTTTGTCATTTTAGGCAAGGCGCTGACGTTTCTCCTGCTGCAGCCCCCAAGCCCCAAGCTGCCCGCACACAGCACCATCCGGAGGACAGCCATCGACCTGATCGGACGAGGCTTCACGGTGTGGGAGCCGTACATGGACGTGTCGGCTGTTTTGATGGGTCTTCTCGAACTCTGTGCTGATGCTGAAAAGCAGCTGGCCAAGTACGTACTCAATCCCAGGGAATTGGATATTGTTTGAATTTTTTTGTTGTTTTTCAGATTGATACTATACGTTATCATTTATAAATCGTGTATGTGTAATAGAAAAAAGGCAAACATCTGAGCATGTGAAATTTTGAGTGAAAAAGGCCTGTTTTTCTGGTATTAACATGCTTTTGATATAGCACTGAACCAGTGAATGATCCATGAAATTGTTTTTCACATTGTTTATTGTACTGTGAAATATTACTAATAACATAAACATATCATTTATTTGGAAAATGATACATATGCTTGACACTCAGAGCTGTCTTCTTGTTGGGCTACATGGCCGGTAGTGTAGAGGTTTAGTCCTGCACATTCGTGTGAATTGTTGATCAGCTCCCTGGGGCATCTGGCACACAGTGGGGAGGAGGTGGCAATCACCCAGGAAAGGGGTGATCAAAGAATAAAAATGATGAGGCCAACTGAGATGGAGAAAGTGCGATAAACATACGTGCTCACCAACCTGTACGGAGTAACAGGGTGATGGTAGTGGTTGCGGTGGTAAACATTAGTGTTGGTTTTGTGTCGCAGCGTGCTGGTTCAGGAATGAGTTTTTGTTTGAGTGTGTGTGTGTGTGTGTGCTACATGTAGTAGTATGAACATTTGTCATTGTGATCATTTTACAATGTCGAATTCACTGGTATTAAGTACGGTCGCAGTGTTTTGCAAGCATTGCCACCATCTGGTTCCCAATAGTGGTCACCTCGAAGAGATCCCAATCCATTAGGTATTTCCTCTCTCATCAGACTCTAACAGCCGCTCTTCTGTTTCTGTCTCTGAGCCCAGCGATTCTGGATGTTCGTTATCTGTGGAATCACATAGTCTGTGGTTTTTTGGGACTGACTTCTTTCAGTAGTATAATCTCTTTAAGGTTTATCCGTGCTGGAGCATGTATCGTTGCTTCATCCGTTTTTATAGCTGAATAACATTCCATCCTATAATTGTGCAACAAGTTGGTTATCCATTACTGTATTGTGTTTCTACCTTTTGGCTGTTGTGAATAGAAACAGTTATAAACACTAATGTAAATATTCCTTTGAACATATTTTCATTAGTGTAGCTCTCTTAAGAATTCCATGTTGAAGTTCTTAAGGTACCAGCAACTCTTTTTAACAGTAGCTGTACCATTTCTTATCCCAGGTATTATCAGAGAATCCTGTTCTGTCTGCATCCCCACCAGTGACTTTTTAAATTATAGTTATCTTAGTGAGTCTAAAGTAATAGGAATTTTTGAAGGGCCCCGTAATACCTCCCTTGATGAAAACATTATCATCTCTTTGATTTTTCTCAATAAAAAACATTTAATTATTGTCATTGTTAACCTTTTCAAAAGCTAGAGTTCTCTGCCCGTTGCATCGTGATTGCCTATCCCCTACCCCACAATCCCCACAGGTTCCAGCATGCTTTGGTCCTCCTGGTCTTTCTGCTGAGTGCTGAGTGAGTGAAGACCAGAGAAAACAGTGCAGACTGAAGTGGAATGCTGTGGCTTTATCCACAGTTCAGCATCTCTAGGCCAAAGTCCCAAGGCTGACTGGTAGTGGGGTTTAGGGGTGTTCTTTTCAAACCCAGGGTGCTGCCCTTGCACATCCCTCCTGTCATACAGCCATGTTTCATAAACTTCATCTCCATCTCCCCTAGCCACATGCCCTTCAGCAAACAACCTCATCTCTCTGCACTTACAAGTTGGGGCTGAAGTACCTGCCTTGTGAGGTTGAGATTAAGTGAGTTTGTAAGTGCGTGGTTCTTAGCACATACTAAAGAGGTAAATGTTTGTAATTATGTGGTAGAATGGGTGGCGATGCCATTGTTATGGTGCTAGTGTGTGACAGATCAAGAATGGCTTATTTAGGGAGTGGTCAGTTTGGCATAGCTTGTGAATACAGGAGACTAGAAGTTCTTGATGGACTTGGAGGATTAGGAGGGAATGTGAGCCCAGTGCCACAGCGCAAAGCTGCAAAAGCATTTCGTATCTTTTGTCCTCCCTGTCGCTGCAGCTGCTGTGTCCGGCCTCCACGCAGTCTGCAGTGCTGTCTGCTGCTAGCCTGGCTTTCCCAGATGCTTTTGAGAAGCTTCTGATGTTGTTTGTCTAAACTTTGACTTTGACTTAACCTTGTGGCTTGTTTACTGATAGGATCTAAGCACAATTTCAACAGTTTGTCCTCTGTTGGGCTACCTGATGGAAGTGTAATGGGTTTTTATTTTAGGTTTAGTATTTAATATTTTGTTTGAAAATAAATTTACGTTAAACTTATATCAGCAGACATAAAGATCCACTTACTACTTTATCTTCATCTACTGTGTCCACAGACATGGACATGTACTTTTCAGTGGACACTTTATATCTTGCTGTTAACATCTTTTGTGAAGATTTGTCAGACTTTCTGTACATGGCTATGAATAAATGAATGTATCAACATGGAGCCTGGAGGAGTCCGATGGCATTTCTATTATGATAAATCACATAATAAGCAAAAAAGAGTTTGCTTATTAATCTGTAATAAGGTTTAGATTGAAAATGGCCCGTTCCATCCCTGGCAGACTTGGTACCTGGTGAAGAGGACTGAGAGGAGGGGAAGCCAAACCCCAGTGCATGTGGGGGCTAAATGGGCATCTCAGCCTCGTGGTGCCTGCTGATCTGCCCCTTCTTGTGCCTGAATGACTGTGTTCACAAGAACTGCGCTCACCCACCTGATTCTGTGCGTGAGGCTAACCTTGCTCTGTGAAGAAGCTTCCATGTCACGCTTGTGCTTTTTAACATTTCAGGACACATTCATTGAAAAAGAGCAGTGTTTCCTCCTTCATTCCCATCCTTGTGAGCTCTTGAAGTGGGGATCTGGGGGAGGAGCAGCTGGCTCAAGCCTGGTACCCAGTACCGGTGGGAAACAGGCATCATGGCATAGATCACTTCGCCTCTCTTTGTTACAGCATCTCCTCTCTTGGCTGACTCCTAAGAGAGCTCCGAGAAACGTGCAGGTGCCTGAAGATCAATAGAGCATTTTTCCCAAATTGATTACAGCTTTATTTCAGAGAAAGGATTTATAATTTTTATATCTTTGCAATCAAAATTCCACTGTTGTTTTCTATTGTTTTCCGATATTTTGCCAAATTTTAAGCTGTGTTTGTTAATTAAGTAAGCATTCATTGAGTAATTAATATGAGATGGGACAATCTGAAATAATTATCTGTGGTTCTGAAGTTGAATCAAACAAACACTATGTCTGCCAGACATTTACAGCTTAACAGAAAGGAGATTTACCCAAAAGTAAACACTACCCAAAGTGCTGGGGAGAGTGATGGGGCTGGGGGACCAGGACCTGGTGGGAAAACAGCTAGTGAGCCAGTTGGGTACCTGGGAGATGGGTGGGAAGGGGTCTCATTTCAATCTTTCCTTTGTGTGATTACCAGGGGTGGAAAGGGAAGACAGACATTCAAGGAACAAAGCAGGGAAGCTTGCCCGGAAGGTGTTGAATGGTGCCCTAACAACAAGAACGAATGAAAGTGCATGTTGCCCTTTCATAACTTGAATTCCTTGTAGAACTCAAACTAGCATGCCTCCATTTAAAACTAACATCATCTTCTTCCAGTTATTTCTGGAGAATAGAATTAGGATTGAAGAAAATGGCTTGGTCTGAGGTCTCAGGAAGCTCCCCGTTTGGTTTTACTTTTAGCGCTTGCCACCCACCTGGCAGAGCTCAGAGATCCAGAGGTGTAGGATCCTTGTGGCCTTCCTGATGAAGGTTGGCTATGCGTGATCCTTTGTGCTGTACACCCCACAAACGAGCTCATTTAGTAACAGAATCTTAACAACTAGGTCTGATCACCTCCATTTTGAATTAATGGGAAAAAAATCTAAAAGAGATGCTGTCCTCCATCTACAGTACCATTGTAATCGGAGAATAAAATAGCATCTAAACCCAGATATAGCCAACTCCCAAAACCAACCTCCTAACATTTATGCCATCTGGCATTCACATCTTAATAATACCCACACAATTAAACCATCTTATTGAAAGTCCATGAACTTGGCTAACTCAGAATTTTCAGTTTGCTTTCGGACAATTTGATGTATTTAGTGATATCATCTTAATCAAGAATTTAGCAATTTCTAGAAATTAAAAGCCTTATTTAAACACCAGCATATGTCTTGAGTATTTGGGCCATGTACCATGTGCTTATTCTTAGTTATTCATAGCACAAGGTAAGTCATTTACATGGATGAATGTTGAATGCATTGATAGAATTTTGAAATGAAAATGTCTTTCCATAGCATTTGTCCAAAACCCTAAAATGCTATTATGTAAAAATAACATTTAGAGAGATTAAGCATCTGTTCTGAGGTCACACTGAGACCTCACCCAGGTTTCCCAGCTCCTAGACAGCTCTCAGATCAAATGGCTATCCCACCCTTCCTGTGGCAGGGACCCTGGAGCAGAATCTTATGTCTTTTGTACATGAATTCAGGGTAGATTGAGCCATCCCCACCTCAGTGTGTGAAAAATAGAAACTGCACTGAAAATGGAACTGGAGCCAGCAGGAGTCCCATGTTGTGGCTTCATTCACTCTACCACAATGCCTTCCCTGTTCGACCATCAGATCTCAAATCTCAATCACATCTTTTGGAGTGGAAAAAGGAGCGTATCATACTAATACTGAGATATTTTAAGATCCCTTATTGTAAACTGTTTTCTATTCCCGTGAAATTTACTTTTAATAGAAAATTTATGGCCTGAGAAAACCATATGTGTAAATTGTGTTAGAATAGTTTTATTCAATGTGAATATATACAACATATATTCCTGTATAGGAAATAAATCTGGACTTGAGAAATAATGAATGTCCCTTTGAGAAAACAAAATTAAGGTCTAGTATAATGGAGAGAAATTGAAAATACTTATTAAGGTGAAAACAAATACTATCACACTTGGTTCCCCAGGAAGGAGTAACATGGAAATCCCAAA